TCATTAAAAAGGACCAGTTTTCTATAACGATTATATACATATTTTTACAACGTATTTGCTCCAAATTCAAAGGTTTCAGCCGAATCATCAATAAAACTGTCTGGAGTATTTTTTTTTAATATATATTACAAAAAAATGATACGAATAGTTTTGTTAACCAAAACACAAATTTCTAATTCATTAATTAATTACGGTTCTTATGCTCGCTTTGATCGTCTAAACAAAAATCCTGTACACGAAAAATTAAAAATTTAAATTATATACAATGTCAGGTGAATACATTAAAAAAATAACCATCCGATTAGTTCGTAAGTTTGCCCTACTTATTAATTAATTAATCGCTTCGCACACGTGAGATTCTCTAATTAAGACAAAAACATTCGATAATGTAAAGTGTTTTTTTTTTTTGGAATCTTCTTCGTAATTATCGGAAGGTTCGAAGCGGAGCTCGGGTTTGTGTATAATTAATTAAAGCCGGCTTCCGAATGGAAATAAATCAGGTCGGAAAAGCTATTAAAGGTATAGAATTTAATAGAAATATCTCGAAGTCCGTTATTAAAAAAAAATATATATATAATATATGTGTGTGTGTATATTGGAAGTCGATGATAAGATCACAATTTACATAGGTGGATTTTATTTTGTTTTAATTATGAATGGGTTTCTCCAAGTAATTTCATAAGGTTTGTAACAAATGATTTATTTAAAAAATGGAATGGTTAAGGTTGTTGGATATTTTCATAATCGTTAACGGGTGAAGAAGAAGCAATGTTGTTCGATTGGAGCGAGGCTCTAAATGCACGATCCTTGTTAATATGCGGATGGCATCGACTGCTTTTGTATTTTTGAAATAGCTCAAGACCTAAAAAGGGGAATCTCTGCATGTTTATTTGGTTTACTACATTAATTATATTATATCAACTTTCTATATTAGATTCACAAAACGTGACTATTTTTTTTTGGAGTATTTTGTATCTGTATGAATGAGACTTAATAAAATTGCATTGAAGAAATGCATTGAAGAATGCAATAAGATCATTAATTTATTGAAATTTTCAATAAAAATAAACGTCCGCAAATCAAAGACTTTTGATGTTAATTTAGGTAATAAAAAAAAGATTCAATTAGTAAAAATATTAATTGATTTATATCAAAATTATAGGAAAAATGTTGATTGTAATGAAAACTGTACACAAACATTTAATAATATTATTATTCATAATTGAAAGAAAAAAATAATTGGATTTGTTTAAATATTTGTATAATTCCAAGCCAAAGTTTGTCCAAATTACAACCAAGGAAAATTGATTATTATTTTGATGAAAGATTCACAAAACATGACTATTTTTTATAGTATTTTTTACTTTATGAATTAGACTTAGTAAAATTGAAATACTGAAACGCATTAAAGGATGTAATAAGATCATTGATTTATTGAAATTTTCAATAAAAATAAACGTCGGCAAATGAAGACTTTTGATATTCAAACATATGTTAATTTAAGTATTAAAAAAGATACAATTAGTAAAAATATGAATTCAATTATATCAAAATTATAGAAAAAATGTTGATTTTATTGGAAACTGTACACAAAAATTGAATAATATTATTATTTATAATTGAAAAAAAAAATAATAATTGAATTAGTTTCAATATTTGTATAATTTGAAACCAAAGTTTGTCCAAATTACAACAAAGGAAAATTGATTATCATTTCGATGACAGATTCACAAAACATGACTATTTTTATAGTATTTTATACTTTATGAATGAGACTTAGTAAAATTGCAATGTTGAAATTCATTAAAGAATGTAATAAGATCATTAATTTATTGAAATCTTCCATTAAAATAGATGTCGGCAAATGAAGACTTTTGATATTCTAAAATATATTAATTTAGGTAATAAAAAAAAGATCCAATTAGTGATTTTAATGAAAACTGTACACAAACATTTAATAATATTATTATTAATAATTGAAAGAAAATAATAATTGGATTAGTTTAAATATTTGTATAATTTCAAGCCAAACTTTGTCCAAATTACAACCAAGGAAAATTGATTATTATTTCGATCACAAATTCACAAAACATGTCTATTTTTTATAGTATTTTGTACTGTATAAATCAGACTTATTAAAATTACAATGTTGAAATGCACTAAAGAATGAAATAAGATCATTAATTTATTGAAATCTTCAATGAAAATAGACGTCGGCAAATGAAGACTTTTGATATTCTAAAATATGTTAATTTAGGTAATAAAAAAAGATCCAATTAGTGATTTTAATGAAAACTGTACACAAACATTTAATAATATTATTATTAATAATTGAAAGAAAATAATAATTGGATTAGTTTAAATATTTGTATAATTTCAAACCAAAGTTTGTCCAAATTGCAACCAAGGAAAATTGATTATTATTTTGATGAAATATGACTATTTTTATAGTATTTTGTACTTTATCTATGGGACTTACTAAAATTGCAATGTTGAAATTAATTAAAGAATGCAATAAGATTATTAATTTATTGAAATCTTCAGTAAAAATAAACTTCCGCAAACAAAGATTTTTGATGTTAATTTAGGTAGTAAAAAGAGATCCAATTAGTAAAAAATATTATTTGAATTATATCAAAATTATAGGAAAAAAATGTTGATTTTAATGGAAACTGTACACAAAAATTGAATAATATTATTATTAATAATTGAAAGAAAATAATAATTGGATTAGTTTAAATATTTGTATAATTTCAAACCAAAGTTTGTCCAAATTGCAACCAAGGAAAATTGATTATTATTTTGATTAAAGATTCATAAAACACGACTATTTTTATAGTATTTTGTACTTTATGAATGAGACTTAGTAAAATTGCAATGTTGAAATTCATTAAAGAATGCAATAAGATCAATAATTTATTGAAAGCTTCAATAAAAATAAATGTCGGCAAATGAAGACTTTTGATATTCAAACATATGTTAATTTAGGTAGTAAAAAAATATCCAATTAGTAAAAAATGTGAATTTACTTATATCAAAATTATAGGAAAAATATGTGTTAATAATTGGATTTCAAAATTTCAAAGTTATTCCAAATAAAAGGTTTGGAAAAATGATTATTATTTTTATGAAAGATTGTAATTTTCAGTTGAATCCATTCAGTTTTATAAAATCTATTAATAAAAACATGTTTCCTTTTTATTTTAGGTTTGGGTCTGTTGTTATTGCTTTTTAAATTCGATAATTGTAAGTAAATTATTGTGCATTTATTTGGCACTGTTGTGTTTTTTTTTTTTGATTGATCAATTATTTGTTAACCGCATGACCCGGAGACCAATTCCAAGGCCAAAAATTACTCGAAGATAATTTGGGGTGTTCTTTGAGAAAGAGAACAACGAAAAAAAAAATATATAAAAATAGAGGAGTGCGTGCATCATTAGAGGCGCGAGTCGGCGTCAGTTTTTTTTCCCTTCTTCCTCTTCAACAGACACAGACGGTCTTGCACCAAAACGCAACCTTCCAAATTATACCTGATGGCATCGTGACCATACCAAAAAAAAAACATAAGAATAATGCGACAGCAACCAAAGTTACGCAGACGCGAATAGTTTCCATCCAATTCTTTCTTTCCTCCTCTTTTACTCCACTCATAATATGCGAGTCTGTTTGTATAGAGAAATATAATTCGGGGTGTAGCAGGAGGAATGCAGTCGCAGCTCCTGCAAAGATAACGTGCCAGAAGCTATTGAGTCGTTGGCACCCGTTTCGGATGCCATTCTTTATACACATACAAGAGTTCATCCTTTTTCTCCGCTCCTTTGCCATTCGAAAATTCGCTACAGCCTTGAGTCCTTTTTGTTAAATTGTTGTTAAATGTTGTGCTGCTGCTGTTGCTTTTGCTGATGTTGGATTTTGTACACGTGTAATAAATCTGGCGGTGTACGCAATCCTCCCCCTGATTTGCATAGAACAAGGTCCGTATCTGTGGACATTAAGGTCTTAATTGAGCCTCGCGTGACCATATCTCTTATTTGTCCGAGGCGGCTATATTTATGGGACCAAAAGACAGATACACTCGAAGAAGAAGAAGAAGGCGCACAGTTACAGTTCGTTGTTGTTTGCTGCTAGCTAGTTCTCTTCTCTGCCTTTCCTCCTCCTCGTTGTTGCTGTTGCTGTTGTTGTTGTCGATGTTGTTTTTTCTTTCTTTCCGTTTCTTTCCTACGTATATATTCCTACCTCTCATTACGGTCGCACATCAATCCCGACGACTCAATCGTTTCCCTTCTTCGAACCCATAAATCTCCATTAAATAATTACACATACATGGCTTTCCATCAAAGTACCTTTAGTACTGATATTGAACGCAGCAACAACAACAAAAAAAAACCCCTCACCAGCTTTCATTAAAAGTTGACTAATCCAACATTGATATCTGTATTTCAAATACATTATTTTTTAGTTAGAACTTTATGAAATTATCAAGTCTGAAGTTTAATAAGCAATTTTTACTAATATTTACATAATTCGTGGAAAAACGTTTCGTGATAAATAAAATTTTAAACTAAAGTATGCAAATTTGTGTACCTTATTGTTTCCAGAAATAGCCTCAGGTGTTCCGAAATTCTTAGTACTATTTCTTAATATTTTACATTAGTTCTTTTAAATTTAATAATCTTTAAGAATTTTAATGCAAGAAATGTTTAATATTCACTTAAAATATTTAATAATTATCCAATCTGCTAAATTGATTCAATTCGCATTGTTACTTGATGTTTACTTATTGATTGTGTTGCAAATGTCTGCAAATTATAAGCATGAATGTTGATTACCAACTGGAAACGTTGCGCAGATTATATTGAAGAATTTTAATGTATTATTTAATATTCACAAAAAGAATAAATAATTATACTGAAACCGAAACAATCTGAGCGCATGTTTTTTTTTCTTCATATTTAATAATCAGCGTATTAGAGAAATGATGCATTAAATACTTTACATACTTGTTATAAAATGATACAGCGTTTGCCTGTCATCTCGAGCGGATATCCGGGAGATTTATCTCAAATAACAGCGTACTGAGAAGAGAAACACTTCATGTTCAGTCCTTAATTAACAATTTCTTCTACTAATCCGATACTATTAGGTTTCGCACTCAAAACTGTATTAATTCAATCTCGCATTTGCGTTTGCGAACGCAAAACTTCTTACTTATGTTTGTTTTTGTAACAGTTTGTTAATTTCCGAGAAACGCATTTTGAATGATTAGAACGTAGTTTATTTGGTATCGATCGATTCAAGGAGCATGAGGTAAAGAAAAGACATTTCAAAGTCAAATCTGCTTAATTCATTACGTGCTCGACTTGGCAAGTTATAATGATTTCATACGAATCGCAATTGGATTTATGTGGATTCGTCAAAGGATGGACGTGCGATGAAGTGGAAACGCTCACGGATCGGACAGCTCCTCTTAACGAAAGCGAATTACTAATCATTAATTATTATATAACTATTAAGAGTTTTACTACAATATTTACTACATTCATGTAATTCATTTATAATTTTTATCCTTTTTTAATTATATGTTAATTATCAAATTAAGCTGAAAACTATAAAACTTTATATATTTTATGATTAGATATTCTATTGTGCTAATTAACAATTCATGATTTCTTTCACCTTTTATTTAATTACTCAATAATCAAACACACTAATTAGATCAGAGAATATGAAAATTAAAGACAAAACTATGGCCTTTCTAATGAGATCATTGTCAGATTTGTAGTAATGACCATTCTTTTCCAATAAGCTTTCCGATTGTAGGCTTTTGTAAAAATATTAATTTTTTGTTAATTTCACATTTTTGATATAAAAATCTGTGTAAAATAATGAAATACATTGCTGAAAGTACAAAAGTTCAAGGTTGGTTGATCTCGTTAATTGCTTGTCTTTCAGTGTTTATGGTAGTTTAAATTGTTTGATTTGTAGGTGTTATGCAACTAATGTTATTTTTTTTTATTGAATATAAGAGATTTTCTTGTGGTTTTTTTCTGGTGGTAAAGAAAACGAAACGAAAATGAAATGAACAGAAAAAGAAGTGGACAGCTCGGGTCGTAAATGCGAGCAGAGTGTTTATAAATAAATGTACCCTTGGAATGTCGACCCATGCCGACTAATTGCATGATAAATTGATAATATTAAAACTCCATATACTAATTAATTATAATTTAAAGTGCGGCTCGTAAACGCTTTTATTATTCCAATTTATATGTGAGTGCGTACGAGTACGGATGGTTGTGATGGAAGAAGTATGTGTTGGATGGATGGATGGATGGAGAGGTTCTTTCTCGCCGATGTTCTTCTTCTGCTTCTTCTTCTGGTCCGGTTATTAACCAGAGGCCAGACAATGACTTAAAAGGATAATTAAAGGAATCTCGAAAATGATATTTAATCGAGGCGCCGACAATGCCTTTTCCGATACCAGCGGGACACTCGAGTCCTTTTCATCACTCCTTTTTTTTTTTGAAGTATTTCTTCTTCTATTAATTCCATTATTATTTTGGTTTGGTTTGGTTTTGTGTCTCTGTATGGTGGCAATGCCATTTTCGCCCCTATTGTCGACGCGCTGATTGCATGGGGCACCGTTACGTAATCCCATTGTTGGCGGTGCCGCGGCATATGGATCCGGCGGGTTCGCCTACTGTTTCTTTTTGTCCTCCGACCGAAAGGGGAAACCAAACAAAGAAATCCTTCGGATCCTCCCGTGATTTATTAACGCGGCTTTCTGAAGTGTGTGTGTATATGCGTGTGTTTGTATGCACGGGTTTCGGTTGTATGGATGCGTCTTTCGCGCAATTACAAAACCCGCATGTGACTTGATCATCCGTCCATTTGACAACAAGAAGAGACTGCATCATGTGTGACGATGATGATGAGTTTGTGCCACGAGGTGGCGGAGAAGCGCGGTACCAAGAGTTGTTGATTGTAGAAGAAGGAGGAAGAGGTTGAGGAAAGGCTATGCATACGAAACGGTCGCAGCAACTGTTGCGTATGGTCCGTGTATATCCGTATGTAATCAGTGGTCTTGAGGAGAACGGACACCTTCTGTCCGTTCTCTTGCAACGGTCGCTATTCAGGTGGAACATGTGCGCACCCTACAGGTGCACCATCGGACCCCATCCACCTGCCCGATCGACCCTAAACCGATCATCAGACGACACCACCACCACCATTACCACTTCCAGCTAAAACCACCATTACACGCGTCTCCTCTCCTACATTACATTGCATAACCCGTGTTTGTATGTCCCTTTGCATCAATTATCCTGCGACTTTTCGCTCTCTCTTTTTCCTTTACATTTTTTTTTTTGCAACAATTTCCAGTTAACAAGAATACGAACGGAACACAATTACACTATTTAAACTAATACACGTACTTACAAAACGAAAAATACAAAAAAAAAAACGACAATTTTAACATGCCGCAATTACCTCGCAAATGCTTGTTAAGCTAAACCAACAATCGCTTCTGGGAACAAAATTCGTATTTAGGTCAACCACATCTTCAATTATCAATATTTCCAATGGCTTCTTCAATTATAATAAACATATCAAAATAAACGTTTTTAATATAATTTCACATATATTTCACAATTTCTTCTAATGAATTCATAACATTGTCCAATTTTATAAAAATGTAATGTTACTTGGTTAGAAAACTAATACTAATACTAATTAATTATGAAGATTTGTCAATTTTTCCAATTATTTTAAAAGACAATATTTTTTCCATTATTCATATTAAATAAATTAGAACATTATAAACTATATAAATCTACGTATATATATTATAATATTATACAAGAAAGTCCATTTTTTAATCATTTTTTGATATAATTAATCATTATGAACTAAGTATTGGAATATTGCTAAGATTTGTTATATTAATAAAAAAAATAATTTGTTGATAATTAAAGTAATTAATTATTTAAATTTAATATAAATTTCACAATTTTTTGTAATAAATTCACAAAATTCTGCAATTTTATAAAAATGTAATGTTAATTGACTAGAAAATACTTATAAAAGTCCATGTAATATTAATTAATAATGAAAATTTGTCAATTTTTCCAATTATTTTCAAAGACAATATTTTTTCCATTATTCATTAATTTTATAAAAATTTACTCGAAAACTATAAATCTACATGTATATTATAAGATTATATAAGAAAGTAAATTTTTTAAGCATTTTTTGATAAAATTTATTATTATGAACTAATTATTGGAGTATTGCTAAGATTTGTTATATTAATAAAAAAATAATTTGTTGATATTTAAAGTAATTCATTATTTACTTTGATCACGTAAACATCAATTAACACCTGAAATTATAATAATAAAATATTGAAAATTACATGAAATTAACTCGAAATCTATGTATATATTATAAGATTATATAAGAAAGTCCCTTTTTTAAGCATGTTTTAATATAATTTATCATTATGAACTAAGTATTGGAATCAGAGTCGAACCGAAATTAACCGGAATGTTTAACTATATCGAAACTGTAACCAAAACGAAAAATTGATGAAGAAAACGCAAGCACAAGTCTTACGCAACTAACATTAGAAGAAACTCAAATGAAAGTGATTGAAAACGATATTACTGTAAACATGACTGAAGAAAAATTACAATGTGTTGAACTAGTCACTAATTAATTTTTATTTCTTTTGTATTTTCAATTTTATAATTGAAAACAATAGTAAGAATGAAATTTGGTAAATAAAATTAAATGTAAATTTGATATTGGACTCGAATCTAAATTTTAATTAACCAATTTAAATTGCTTTATTTCGATTTTAAATTTTAATTTCAACCGGAACTGAACCGAAATTTTTAGACGAACCGAAACCGAATCTGGAACGATAAACATTTACTTCGAACGTAATCGTAAACCGGAACGAAATTAATATCATTTCGACGCTCTGATTAGAATTTTTCAATAAAAATAATTTATTGATATTTAAAGTAATTAATTATTTACTTTGATCACGTAAACATCAATTAACACCTGAAATTATGATAATTAAATATTGAAAATTACATGCACGTTGCATAATAACTTTTCACGTGTTACCAAGTTCATTGATATTAACAGTCATTTAAGAGCGCACGTGACCGCCATTAATTCCAAGAGATGCATAGAACGTAATACGTTTTCAATTCGATTTCTGTCTGATCTGCTTAATTAACATGCTTTTCGTGTACGAGCATTAAAAGATCGATGCGATGCAAACGAAAATGATCGAATACTTTCCACCGTAATTATAATTACTAGCTTTAATCACAAACATTATTCGAAGGCAACTACCATTTTCGGTTTAGCGATGCTAATCTTCATTTGGTTCTTCTTCTTATTATTTTTTAGTCTTCATTAAATATTCAAGGTCGTAAAGGTAAATCTCCCAAAAAAAAAAGAAAACGCGCTCGCAAACCGCAAACAACGCGGAATGGCAATTATAAGCGGTAATACATCATTTTAAAGATACCTATCTTCATCTGCAAGGAGAATCGATTTATTTTACATGCTCGAAAAGATATACATGCTCGTATACAGAGTGATCCAATAAAATCTATCTCAAAGCTTTTATTTTTTTGTGTCCATTTTCGCAATAATATTATGATAATCGAATCGCATTCTGGATTTTAATTAAAATTCGTTCGATTCATTAACGCGTTACTTTTGTCGCGTTTACGATAATGATGTAAACATAAATTAATCCTTGTCATTATCATACATTGAAATATTTTCTAATATTCTAATTTATCTTCGATGCATTTCATTAATAATATTAAAACGTTGCATTTATATCTCTTATGTTTTATTTTATTTATTTTTTTAGTTTCAATTAATTTATTTATTCATAGATCATACACAAATTCCACGATTGTGAGTCGATGATTGCTTTGATCCAGGAAATTGACGTGGATCCTTCATTATGCTCGAAGTAATTCGCTCGGATGTTGATAAACGAGACTCGTGGCATGCAGGAGGAGGCATGAATATATGAATGTCAAAATGTGCCATTAAAACGGTCTTAGTCATATATTGCATTTATTAATTATGTATCGAGATCAATATATAAATGTTTTAATACTAATAATGCCGACGCGCGTGTTCACATTTTACAGATTAA